TTTAGGCGTAAATAGATTAGAACATTGTTCAATGCCATGTGTTGGGAGATCAATGTACGAAAATGTAAACGAATGAATGGTTTTACTGCGTTCACTTGAGGCTATTCGCTATTTAGGGATTAGGGAACTGACTTTTATGATTGCATTGTATTTGCAATACCATTCGACATACGAATGACTATAGTGAATGGTGTTCGGTAATTTACTAATAGCGCCAATACATTTTCATGCGAATGCCAGCGTTCGTGCATTTGACGGTTCGGGAGTTTTAAGCGTAATACAATTCAATCAATGCCATGTTGTTAGCAATGTACAACATTTGAAACGAATGGTTTTACTGAGTTCGGTTGAAGCTATTCGGTATTTAGGGATTAGGGAACATAGTTTTATGTATTCAATTCATTTGGCTCAATTAAATCGCGCCGAATGAACGAACAAGTTTAGCTGAAACGAAAATACTACCGAATATCATACGAAAACGAATGAAAGAATTGACGAAATTCGGTTCTGACTAAAGTATTTTCTTTTTCGTACGAATACATTCGTACGAAACGAAAATTTCTGAAATGCCCAAGTCTAGTGGGGACTGTGTGTCTGTTGTTTGTGTTATTTGTATGAAGGGGAGGTTTCTTCTGCAACTGCTTATATCTAGCATTGTGGGTGGATTTTCTGGAGTCCAGTGGGGACCGGGCAGCCAGATACAGCTCAAGTGCAGGAGCTGCCACCTGCAGTCACCGCTCATGTTGCACTAGCAGATAGCTGAAGTCCTACTGGGACTCCTGATAGACCAGAGCCTGGTTCTGGCAGCCTTGAGTGAAATGCAAAGGCACCACGCGTGCCACAGATTGCTGACCCCTGACCTAGATGATATATTACTCCCCCTACCCAATTTTCCCCCACCCTTGTTTCCTTTTTAGAAATATTGTCTTTAGATCTTTTTCAAATTGATATTAATTGTAATATCCCTTGTATTTTTCTAAAGTATATTGCTATATAGTTGCTAATGATTTTACTTAATGTTAGGGTTTATGCATTTTATTTATACTATTCAGTTCCATAACTGTCAATTAAACCACTGACATTGTAACACACTTTTCTGTCCAATAAAATTATTTTAAAAAATACTAATTTGTGCTTCATTAGAGATTTTGCCTTTTAGCTGAAAAGAGCAAGGTAGATTGTAAGTATTAGACTCAATTAGATCTTATCTTGATAACGTTCTATTGAGGACGAAACGCATAGATGTTCACATTGCTTGTCATGCTCCCAATCTGCGGCTGTCCATGGAGAGATGCTCCCATAGTGAGCTAATCCTTAAGGAACCACTTGTGCTGTTGGGCTGAATTCACATTGGCACTTGTCTTTGAGGGGTATTGAGGTGGATATATTAGTCCTGATTGTCTCTGTGTATTCTGATGCAGCAGCTCCAGAGTCCAGCAAAGCATTGATATGTGGAATAGCAATTTACCCTACTCAGGAAACTCAGGTATATATATACCTTGAAATGTGTGTGGGACTTTCATTATTAAATACCTGGTTTTTATGTTTAGTGTTCATTTGCTGAATTTATCACATATGTGGTTACTTCACTAAATACATATTTAGTTTTATTTTTTTTAATTCTATTTCATAGTAATAAGTATTTTGAGAAGAGTGCTCCATTTCTTGTAGTTTGTTGAGAAGACAGGATGCAGCACAGGTAGCGGGCAGGACCCACTTTAATATGTCAAACCATGCTAAGCAGTTTAACATCTTGCACAGTATTTCATCTAACCACAACTTTATTAAAGGACCACTCCACACCCATAAAGCAGTTGTGCTTGCTGAAAGTCAGGGAGATTAGCAGACTCCTTCCGTTAATTCCCCTTCCCCTCCTACCACACAGATGTCAGATCAGCGTCATCAGTTCCTCCATAGTCCTCAGATCAGATGTGTGTGTGCACTGATTCAGAGACTTCTCGGTGAGGTTTACTCCCCATGAAGAGACTGCTCAGGTCTTCCAAGGAAAAAGCAGATGGCTTGCTGAGGTTTGAAGCTCTTTAAGATATATCCTTGATGAATACATGCACGAAAATGCATGAATGTATTCATTGGGGATATATTTACTAAACAGTTTTTTGGGTTAAAAAAACAACATCAAAATCATTCTGCAGTGGTTCTTCAATGTTTAAGTTGATGCTGTCAGTGAGCATTCCACTCGTGGGCTAAGCCAGTGTTGAGTAGAAAGACAAAACAAGTGCACATAGCTATCCAATGATTCCATTAAATCAGGGGTTTCAAAGTCAATTTAATTGAGAGCACAGTTATTGTCTTTCGTGAGGGCTGCAGATCCTTTCTGCCAGAGGCACACTTATACTCACAAATCCATACTCCTATTCACAAAAATACAAAGAAATCATTGCTGCCTTACACGGGATCGGTGCAGGGGTTTTTAATGATGCATTTTGCTGCCCCCCCAAAATGTGTCTTCACCTATGTAACCCCACTTTTTTAATTTTTTAACCCATTTAGTGTTTCATATCCTCTCTTGAATGTCTTACCCCTTTTGCCTCTTTGTGTCTTACACCCCTTGTAGTGTATTTTATCCACCCTTTCTGTGTCTTACACTACCTTGTGTGTCTCTTAAAACCCCCCTTTTAAGAGACATATAGACACAATCAGACAGAGACATACAGACACAGTCATACAGAGACATGCAGACACAGACATACAGAGATATACAGACACAGTCATACATAGACAGACATACAGACTATGTCCCCCAGGGACATGTGCAATCAGGTCTCTGGGAAGCATCCTGTCTAGCTCTATAACCTGTGGATCCAACTCAGCAGTCCAGCCCCATCACTAGGCGCCAGCTATGCTGTGTGCTACAAATGGAGTAAGGAAATTACGTGATCCATATCCCTGCCCCCTCCCCACAGCCTGCGGCATGCACTAGAGTAGGTGGCTGGATTGCACAGAGGTACTGGAGCTCAGCCACGCTCCAAGAAGTGACCAGCATTTGTGCCCCTCATGCTGGTGTGCCTTAGGTAGCCACCTGTGCCGCGTTACGGTAGCTCCAGTCCTGGCTTTATATACAAACACACAGCTACACACTTCAATATGCACACACTTCAACTTGTATTACTCGTACACCCTTCGGGAAAACAGACTCTGATATATCATAATTAGTGATGTCCCGAACAGTTCGCCGCAGACTGCGAACATATGCGCTGTTTGTCCGCTTTCCTATGGACGCTTGCGTGCTCTCATTGTGATTTTCACAGTGAGAATCACGCAAGCGCCTCTAGCGGCTGTCAATGAGACAGCCACTAGAGGATTTGAGGGCTGGATTAACCCATTTATTTCAGTTTCTCTAAAAACTGCTATGTTTATAAAAAAATGGGTTAATCCTAGCTGGACCTGGCACCCAGACCACTTCATTAAGCTGAAGTGGTCTGGGTGCCTAGAGTGGTCCTTTAAGTGCTCCCTGGGCGGCCGCTGTTCGTACAACCGAATGTTACGTGGAAAAGAAAACGGTGGCCATCTTGTTCGCACGAGGAGAGGCAGCGGGACTTGGTCGTCGAGTGTCTGGAACTAAAATCAGACACTCAACCTCGCGAACTACTGCTGAAAACTACCGAACGCCGGCTTATAATATTTCCCGAACAGCCAGGAAAGCCTCATTCGGTAGTTCTGTGCGAACGGACAAGAGGAGCAATCGCTACTATGGGCCAGGGGGATCCATTCGGGACTTTTGTTCGTTTTTTACAGTTTTGTGAACTGACCGACCGCACACCCTAAATTCATGGAACTGTTTAGGGCAGGAGCTGCGTGTGTGGTCGGTAAAAGGGACCCTCCACACTTTTTCAGAACCCCTGAACCGATCTGGGTGAAATTTGGATATGTTTGTCCCCCAGATTTGTGGGGATACCTTGTGAGGAAAGGGGTGTTCTAAGTTTTGGGGAAATTGTGTGCTCTCTGCCTGGAGATAATTGGTTTATTCCTTAACTTATCTCAATATCTCCCAGGCAGAGAGGAGGCGTGTATTACTGTAAAACTGTGTGTTGATTGGTTATTGTCTTTGTTTGCTGTGGGAGGTCCTCTTGCAGGAGGATTTCTCATAAAAGCCTGTGTGTTGTCAATAAAATTCATTCCTGTTACACCCTTCATGAAGTCTAGGCTCATGTTTGGGGGATATTCTACTTGCTGGGAAGAATCACCTTGGAACTGCATTTCATCTATCTTATTCCTCTACTCCCTGCTGCAGCTATAATCACTCAAGCTCAGCTGTTGGGAGAGGGAACCAAAGACCGCAGCACCATAACCACTGCAGGTCTTAACACTCTTACTTTCATGAAAGTCTACATCATTAATAAAAGTTCCTATTGCATTATCTTCTTTCTTGCTTGAGCCACATACCTCCAAAATATTTGGGTCATAAAAAGTCCTATGATCCTGAAAAGAAGTTAATATCCTAAGATTAAATTTATGGAAATTATGGAAATCACAGTGTTCACACCTCTTTTACTAGAATAAGACAGTGATCTGCTGAACAGGGGCTATAATTGTGAAATATTCAACATATAGGTTGGACTGGGAGAATAGAGCATGATTCAGAGTAGATAATGACCAGTATAATCTTACATTTTAATTTCTAATTCTTATATTTTCTCTCGGGTTTTGATATTTTTGTTGTCCTCAGATATATATGTCAATCAATTCTCCTTTTTCCAAGAAATATAAGTAAAATTTCCTGATAGATTACTCTGGATTAGCCTTTGATTTTAAATAAGCAAAGTAATGATAACAATACTTAGTGACCAGTTCCATCAATACATCTCACAAAATTATATGGCCTATAGACTACCTAATTGTAGAGTGAGAGATACCAAGTACTTAACTAATTAGTATGCATAAATAAATAATTATTTATCTGTGAAAACCTAATCAGTGTGTGATTGAACATTATTACAAAAAATGTAATCATACATATTGACATATATCAGATTCATTACTTATGTTTTTTGGATTCTAAGCTTTATAGAGAAAATTGTTGGTGCCTCTGTCTGCTCGCTGCTCAGTTTCTCAGAAAGTCGAAGTAAGTTCAGTCGCACTAAGTTCATTATTGATTTTTTCAGCTTAATACTGCCATGAATAAGGATAATACTCTGTGCTGGTGAATAAGTATAAATAATCAGCAAGCAGATGCAAAACCCAGGACTACTGGGAGGGAAGAGATCTAGAAACATCATGATCTCAGAGATGTAGAAGGACATATAGAGGAGGAGAAGACTTCCAACAGTGCGGGCTGCTCGGTTTCTGGCCTTTGCACGAGGACTCTGAACTTTACTTGCCTTATCAACTTTGTTACAAGGAGACACAAGTGACCTAAGGATTAGTCCATTGGAGATAGCAACAAGCACTAATGGTAGGGAACAGCCAATAATATTACTGGAAAGCAGGTATGTAATACTCAACTTGGGAATATTCCATTCCAAGCTTATATTTCTTGATGCATTCCCACTAAGGTGCTCCTTGTAGGAGCTACAGACCGCTGGAGCACTGATAGCTGCAGATGTGATGACTGAAGTCACAAGAAACCATGGTACTATCTTGGATATCCCCAGTTTGAGACGCACCAGGAAAGGATGGGAGAATATGACAATCTGCAAGCAGTAGTAAACACAAAGGCAGACAGTGAACCAAAAGCTGGAGAAGATTGGGAAGTACAACATGGATTTTAAAGTGGAGAAAATGCCTTCAGAGAAGTATATATCACTCCACAGGATGATCAGCAAGTCATTTGCTATCATGACTAACTGGAAAATTATGTTTGATATTCCAAGTGTAACCAAAATGAGGTCAGAAGGACTGAGGCCTTTTTCCTTTTCAAAATAACTTACAAAAATGATAATACAATTTGAGACTATGCCTGTTATGCTCGTAGCTCCCAAAAAAGCCATGGATGTGAGAAGGAAAACAGACAGCATAGCCTGAAGTTAAAACTTTGGCATCAGCAGGACTTTGTGTTGAAAAATTAAGATATTTGATTATGATATTGCATCATTATTATTACTGGTGAATTTGGTATCTTCTAAAATTATGTAAAAGTTGCTAGAATGGAGAGAAAAGAGAAACTGCTTAGTGGGTTCAAAGAATAATGACTGAATACAGTTCTAGTAAATCTGAATAAGAAACATAATTAAATTAACAACCAGAGCATTGTTTATTAATCTACTTCACAAAATATGTTCCACTTTACTAAAATAAATGCATAGCTTTTATGAAAAATAGCCATTGAATGTATATGTGGTTAAATTAGAACAACTATCAGCCAGACTAGTAGCTTTAACAAACCGCAGATAATCTAGAATCTAGATTATATATTTGTTAAGTGCAATTAGTAAACTGAATGCTAACATAACAAAATATAAAGACTGTCCATTTATACATAGTGAACTAAATATATTGGATAATTGTGCACTCATGAAAAATAAAAAATAAAATAAAAAAAACTTTATTATATAAACATTATTGAAGCAAATAGTCTGGGAATGACCATTAACACACTTAGAATGATATAACAGAAAATATGCAGTAGTACACAAAAATGATGACTATGAAAAAAAAACAATGAGTAACCAATACAATGAAAAAGTAAAATGTAAAGTAAAATGGCAAAAAAATCTATTTAAAAAAAATGTATTTATAGATTACATATATTACATATTTAATAAATAAACACATTTTTTTATTGCTTTTTCTAACTCTTTTGGTCACTTCTCACTTGACCTTTGAATAAAATCAACATTTAGTGGCTGTTCACTAGCCATAAATCATCTTTTTTTCTATATTTATCATCTCTTTATTTGGTGCCAATGGCGTGACTCCTAATACAAAATAAAACTAACATATTTGGCCATTGCAATGGTCGTTTGCGTGGCTAAATGTCTGTATGTCAATTAGGAGATACCAATTTGGCCAATCGATATTGTGTTAGTACTGGGCAAATTACAGCTTAAACATTGGTTTCAAATGTTTTTATTCAAGGGTACAAGGATTTAGGATATAAACATTATGGTTTCTCATTTCCAAACGTAATTTTATTTACACTGTTAGATATTTTAGGAATTTCCATATACCCTGTTATATCTGTAGACATTCCCAAAATTACTGTAATTCTGCATCACAAATACAAATAGATATGTATTCTAGACTGTTTCTGAATTAGACCTCGATTTGATATTTTTGCATAAGCGTTCAAAATGAATTTATATTTTTGGCTAAATGTTTAAAATAATATTTTTTTAATCTTTACTTTTTTTTTCTTTATTTTAAATACATATATCATACAAATTTACAATATAACACAAGACAATATAGCAGCAAGATAGAAGAGAAGAAAAAGATACCAGAAAAATTTCCTAAGTAGAGTGGTAGGAGCATTTAAATATATCTCATAATTTTTACAATGTTCATGGTATTAATCCACTTCTAACTAATCAACATTATTTCCTACGTCAATCATCTCAATACATTTTGACCAAACAAATACCTTATTGCTTAATTTTTGTTTACTTAGCATCAACTCCATTTTAATCTGAAACTCGAGTTGGTTTTTAACTTTCTTCCAGGGGACTTATGAATCTTTTTTCCACCATCTCTCAATTACTATTTTGACAGCTAAAAAAAGATGTATAAGAATTACTTTTAGCTCGTACGTCATATGTGGCCAATTCAAGTGTAACAAAACTACCTCTGGGCAAATTATCAACTCGAGTTTTAGATTATTGGATATGAAATGCTGTATTTTCAGCCACAGATTTTTTAATTTATGGCAGTCCCACCAAATATGTCTAAAATTGCCTCTAGTACTGTTACACCTCCAGCAGGTAGGGTTAGTTAAAGGATATATTTTGTTCAATTTAGCTGGTACTAAGTACCGCCTATTTAAAACTTTAAAGTGTGTTTCTAGTAAATTTAATGGGTGTATGTTCTTCTTAACATCCATCATTGAAGAACCCCATTGTTTCATGCTAATATCAATATTTAAATCTTGTTTCCATGCCTGTATAGCAGTAGGATTTGTGTCCTTAACCATTGATTTAGTTAGTATTAGAGCTTTAGAGAGTGGTTTATTGATTTTTTTTGAGGTAAATAATAAATCAATCAGATTGCTCAAATTAGATTTTGGTGTTATAAGGTGTGTGTTCATATAACTTTTGAGTCTTAAAAAATGAAACACCTCTCTGGATGGAAGATTATATGCGCATGTTATTTGAGCAAAAGTTTTATCCTTCTGTCAATAAATGATCTAAAGTCATTATCCCTGATTTTTTCCAATTATTCAGATTTAAATCTTCCACTTGATTTTCTACAATATTTAACTCTAAGTAGCTTGGAACTTTTTTTTCTATGTTCACTGCTTTTTTAATTTTGGACCAATTTTCCAATAATTGAGTTAAAATAGTATTGGGATACTCTTTTTTTTTTTTAGCGTTTTATTTATGTTCCAAATTAAGCAATCTAAGCTAGAGACTTCTCCTGCCTTCATTTCCATTTTATACCATCTTTCATCTTTATTTTCTTCGATTTGCATTCTATAAATATGTAGAATAGTGGCTGCTTTAAAATGATTCATTATAAATGGGTAAGCGAGTCCACCTTTATGTAGTTTTTGCACTAATATTGATTGTTTTAGTCTTGGCTTCTTACCTTTCCAAATGTATTGAGTAAAGCTTCTTTGTATTAATTGAAGCCAATGAATTGGAATATGGAGGGGTAACATTTGGAACATGTAATTCCACTTTGGTATGACATATGAGTTAATGACGTTTATTCGTCCCCAGAAAGTAATCTCTAAATTTCTGCGATCTTTTAACCATTTATTGAGCTCCAGTAATAATGTTAGAAAATTTACTTCCATAGTCTTGTTTATCTCTCTAACTATTTTAATTCCTAAATAATCCATGCTTTCCTTAACCCAAATAAAATCATATCTGTTTTTAATCTCTTGTTGCGTTTTTTTATTGAGGTTGGTATCTAGTATCAGGGATTTATTTGTATTTAACTTATAGTTTGATATAAAGCTATATCGATCTATTTCTTGCATTATATGTTCTAAAGAGTTTTTAGGATTTGTAAGAGTAATTAAAATGTCGTCGGCATATAGACTAATTTTTTGGTCCTCATCTATTATTTTATAGCCATTAATCTCCTTATTGTTTCTGATGTTTTCAGCCAATGGTTCAATAGTCAACAAGTAAAGCAATGGCGAAAGGGGGCATCCCTGCCGAGTACCATTTCTAAGTTGGAACCATGGGGCAACAATATTAGGTCCAATAGTCCGTGCAACTGGATTTACATATAGGGCCATTATAGCTTTCTTAATCCAGCCTTCCAGTCCATAATGTGATAAGACGGCTTCTAAATATTTCCAGCTGACTCTGTCGAATGCTTTTTCAGCATCGAATCGACAGAGTCAGAACTGAAACATAATTTCTATTTGCATCGTCCAAGATGTTAATGATTTTCCTTATACTTGTATAGGAATTTCTGCCTGGAACATATCCTATTTGATCTTTGTGGATAATTAATGGAAGAAGTTTTTTTATTCTGGCAGCCAAGACCGAGGCATATAGCTTAGTGTCTACATCTATTAAAGATATTGGACGGTAATTTTTAATGTTGGTGGAATTTTTATCATTTTTTAGAATGGGCAAGATAATAGCTTTAAGCATCTCTGCTGGTAGAAATCCTCTGTTTGCAGCTGTATTAAAAGCAGAGGTCAAATATGGACATAGTAGATCTTTAAATGTTTTATAAAATAGGTTGCTAAACCCATCAGGGCCTGGTGTTTTAGATCTTTCTAAGTTATTTATAGCTTTCATAATCTCCTCCATAGTTATAGGTTTATTCAGAAGTTCGTTATCAATAGGTGTTAATTGAAACTTCTTTATAGTTTTTAAATAATTTTTGATATCATCGTCTGTGTTAATTTGAGATATATTATATAGATTGCCGTAGTATTCATTAAAACATTTTCCAATTTCTCTAGGGGTTTTTGCTATTTTTCCATTCTGTATTATTTTATCTACTTTGTTCTGTCGTTTTTGTTTTCTAAGTTTTTGAGACAGCATCTTTTCAGCTCGGTTACCTTTAGAGTAATATTTGAGTTTTAGTCTATCCATATTTTTGGCTATCGTATCTATTAATTTTTGCTTTATATTTTCTTTCAGTTCTAATATTTTTCCATAAATTTCAGGAGATGGAGATTGTTTATTAATATGAGTCGTGTTTCTTAATTCTGTATATAGATATGCCAAAGTGATATTTTTATCAAGCTGACTTTGTAGCTTGATAATGTGGCCTCTTATAACAGCCTTAAAGGCGCACCACAAAATAGATGGATCAATGTTTTCTGAAATATTTTCTTTAAAGTAATTTTTTATATTGTTTTCTATGTAAGTTTTTTTTAATTCATAGCAAAGCAAATTATCTCTTAACCGCCAAGTATAGGCTTCTCTTTTGAATGTACAAAAGGCTATTTCACAGGAGACTCCATTGTGATCTGTCCAAACTATTTCATCAATCTTTGTTTTTTTGGTCATATCAATAATGCTTGGATCTACCCAAATCATATCCAGTCTTGAATAAGAAAAATGAACTTTAGAGAAATGCGTGTAGTCTCTCTCGTTGGGATTATAAATTCTCCAAATATCAAATAAATTATATTCATCTTTAATTTTTTTTAAAGCTTTTGCTTGTTTTATCACCATTTGGTTTAAATTGTTTCCTTTCATTAATTTTTTAT